TTAAAACTTTAGAGAAATAGAAAAAAATCCATCTGTTTGTCTGTCTATGGGTTTGTTTGTATTTTATGCGTAACTACACCTTTCATCCGATGGCCATAACAATTTGCGGAGTTATTGGGAGTACGCCTGGTACGTTTTCTAAGATAAATTTTTCACAGTGGCGGCGCCCCGGCAGTGTGTGATGTGGTATCCAGAGTTCCCCAGTGTCTATCTAAGTAGCAGGGGCCTGCTGATTGTGCGTCCTACACAGGAGGGCGCGAGTACCACTTGATTCAACTGTTAAACTGCACCAGGCTTATCCGTCGGCGCCCCTGGGGTCGGGTGACCCGGAGCACCCTAGGCTCCCCCGTGAGCACTGTGGCGCCTACGTTCGTTTAGCAAAAGAATTTCACAAACATTTGAAATAGAGTCTAAGTCCATCAGGAAACGAAGAAAGGGCGAGATATTTGGCACTTGCAATTAAAAGAGACAAAAAAAATGACTTTTAGAAAAAGTTCTACCGAATTTAAAAGAAAACAAAGAATATCTCAAACCACCCTACGTGGAACAATCATGAAAATTTACAGGATATTTAAATACTAGCGCCATATCGCGTTGACTAACAAAAGCTCAATTTGTCTAGTGACGCTTTTGTCTATCAAGTTTAGGTAGGTGTGTGTTTAGAATTGTTTTTAATGAAAATAAAAATATCAGGCTGAAATTGCGAAACATATAGGAGAATAATATTCAATTACAACTTCTATTCCTTGAGTAGTATAAATCCAGGATAAATGTGTTACAACCCTTACTTTTAAATCGTGCTGGATTATAACTTATCTTTAAAAAATCGAAACTATACGACACTGTGCAGCCCTTTCAGCCTCACCCCCCCCCCTCCTCCTCTACTGCACTAACTTTCATTTGGAAACTGTAATTGTCTTCTAAATCTACATCTATTGCAAGCTATTACACTCACTACGATGGTACTCAGGAAATATCTCTTTAGTTGAATGCACCAGTACATACATATATATCTGTTATATACCAATATTATATACTTTACAACAGTTTGTATTACGTTTATACCTGCGTTTTAGTTTATTGTAAATGTGTATATAACTCCGTTATATATAGGCCCCATGCGTGTTCTACTGTGCTCTAGACACTTATAGTACTGTTATATAAGTTGTATTGTGCTTTTTACCTGTGCCCTATGTAATATGCATGCGCAGTACTTTGATATATAATTTGTATTACTATATAGTTTTTAATACCTGTGCAGCACTATGTAATATACCTGTGTAGTATATATGTAATATACCTGTGTATTACTGTGTAATTTCACCGAACCGAATTCTAGTCGAAAAAGACCTTAACATTGATCAAGCTACAGCACTTACGTCTATTATTTATTGTTTTGCGAAGCCCGGATTAGCGGAACAAAAGACTCCTTTAGGACCGAACAACGAAAGACGTTGTCCGATAACAGCTGTAAGCGATTTAACCAAACAAAATCAATCACCGCCGGCTCAATCTCGCGGCTAAAGAAAACATTGTTAAATCGGTCCACACTAGACACGGGGCAATTTGCTTCAATGGGACACCCATATATGACGTCAGGCTTTGTAAATAAGCGATTTTAACCTCACCCATCCCCACCGTCACACATCGTCACAAAAAGCCAGATCCACTCCTACTGAAATGACGTCACGCCTCAGTCTACTACCCTCCCGCTCAAAAGCTCAAAATTGCTATATTTGAAATAGTTTGGTTATGAAAGGTTATTTGGTTTTCTGACGTCCATCTAATAACGTCGGCTGTGGGCTGTTTCACCCCAGCGTGTGGAGAGAGAGGGCCACACTGCACATTTGTAAGTCATCCAAACCAAATTTGGTTTATCGTGTAAACATTACGTAAGTCTATCAAACATCCAAACCAAATATGGTTTATCGTGTAAACATTACGTAAGTCTATCAAACATCCAAACAAAAGTATGGTTTATCGTGTAAACATCACGTAAGTCTATCAAACATCCAAACCAAATATGGTTTATCGTGTAAACATCACGTAAGTCTATCAAACATCCAAACAAAATATGGTTTATCGTGTAAACATCACGTAAGTCTATCAAACATCCAAACCAAATATGGTTTATTGTGTAAACATCACGTAAGTCTATCAAACATCCAAACAAAAGTATGGTTTATCGTGTAAACATCACGTAAGTCTATCAAACATCCAAACCAAATATGGTTTATCGTGTAAACATCACGTAAGTCTATCAAACATCCAAACCAAATATGGTTTATCGTGTAAACATCACGTAAGTCTATCAAACATCCAAACCAAATATGGTTTATCGTGTAAACATCACGTAAGTCTATCAAACATTTAGAGCCTAAACGACTGTCCTCGCTTTTAATCAACAGCTCAACATGAGAATTAATCGAAAATCATCAACATTTTAAAATTACTGACCCATCCCCACCAGAATATCTCCCCCACCTACCCACCCCTACCCCCGTCCATGGTATGCGTCACCTCCACAAGCTAATGTAACACTGGTTGCTATTGGGATTCGGTTCGTGAAGCTCCAAGGATTAAGTACTCGTGGTTCAAGCTCTTTGTCTTTGTAACGGTGGCAGGGGGGGTGGGGGTAGTTTCGGGTATCCAGCGAACTGTCACAGAAAGAAGTAAGACCTTAGCATTTCGTGATCTAAAATAACTTAATTAATGAGATAATTAGAGCGCGCCGGACCGGTTCAAGCATCTAACCGTACCATTTTGACAGTAATAAGATCGATGTGTGTGCTATGACGGGTTGCTATAGACTGCATTCAGCTTGGGTTTATCTAAGAATGGTTTTAAATTACTGGTCCATGGTTTGTGACAATCACAAAAATGACAGTTGTAAATTTGATGAGATTGTTTTTATTCGCGAATATTTAGCGCGATTTATTAAATTTAGAGGGATTGTGAATACAATCCAATCGTACATGTTATGGGATTGTCACAATTTGCGTAAATTTGGTTAGATTGTCACTATTTGAGTAAATTTGGTGGGATTGTCACTCCAAATATAATTCAATGCCACCGTCACTTCAATTTTAAATCAACGTGATTGTCACTATAACACGGAATTGTTGATATAGGCCTATATATAGTGTACAGTAGTTGGGCTTGTCACTATACTGTTATTATTCGGTGGGATTGTCATTATACTTGTAAATTTGCTAGTATTGTCACTTTGAAAGTAAATTTGATGATATTGTCACTTTGAAAGTAAATTTGCTAGTATTGTCACTTTGAAAGTAAATTTGCTAGTATTTTCACTATAAATGTAAAATGATAGTATGGTCACTTTGAATGTAAATTTGATGATATTGTCAATTAGAATGTAAAGTTTGTAATATTTCACTCTATACATTTTAGCTTGTTGTCTTTGTCACTGTACACGTCACAGCGTCTACGATACGATTCTACCTAAAAGATGTAGCTACTCTCTATGACTGTTGTGTCGCCTAGTCCATAACACTCTGGCTGGGTTTCTTTCAGCCTTTTTTCGGAGGGGGGGGGGGGCACTTGAAAGTTTTGCACTTTTTTTTTGGAGGGGGGGGGGAGGTGGAGGGGAGCGGACACTGGTTAAGTTAAATTATTTTCTTTATAAATTAATACATAACAATAGATACTTTCTCTATTTGAGAGGGGGGAGTCCAAAGAGATGCCTGACAGATACTTCTGATTTCTATCTTTGGAGCAGTGCCCCCCCCCCCATCCGAAGAAATACCTATAAGAAACTGATTTCTTTCCTTGCTTTATCCACCATGTTGAGCGCACCAATAGAGATCCAGCTTGGTGACTAAAATATTCGCCTTAACGGCTTCCTTGTACCTACATACTCCTAAATACCATAGACATAAATTATGTTGTCAGTTAGGGCCCGGCACCCAGCCCAGCAGACTTTACAGTGGAATGTTGAAATAAACGTTAGCTGGATACCTGCTTCTTCCAGTCATCTCCCTTGACCAGATAGAAACTATATATAATTTAATTAGGAAATATAGAATTTAACAAATGTCCGTCCTTCCATAATTAATTTTCAAGTGCCCCACCCCACCCCCCTAAAAAAAGGTGAAAATACCTGAAACAAACCCTAGTTGGACCATTAACTAGCTTGTGGCTGATGTACCATATAGGCGACTGCTAGCTCAAGTCTCTAGTGAACAAAAGTACGAGCACACCGTAAGGCTACACGTCTCCCTTCCACACGAGTTACTTGTCCTTGTCAAGTTGCAGGGAAATAACTCAAGTTGTGGACATGACTCCGTATTGTAGTTTTTTGTGTCCTGTGTTGATACGGATACCAAAATAAGAAAATACGTTTAAATAACAAGCGACTGTTAAATTAAGGGAAGTGGAGCTTCTAAATGGAGTCATTTTGATAGGATAAAAACTATGTAATAGATTTAAAATTTTTGTTCATTGCATTTGTTTATTAAAATTGTTCTTACAACAGATGTGTTCATACGCCGAACAATTTGGGGGATTTATTGGAGTGGGGGGGGGGGGGGGGGTTAAGTTTGAAATATTTCGCTTTGTTATATTTTTTAATGAGTTACTTTGTCAATGTGAGGTTTCGTCAAATGATATTTTTTCTTCATTATGTGATATTTTGTTCAGTGATCATTTGTTCTGTGATCATTTGTTCTGTGATCATTTGTTCTGTGATCATTTGTTCTGTGATCATTTGTACAGTCAAACAAGTGAAAGATCTATAAAAACATTTCTCGGCTGGGTGAATGAATGCAGGGCCACGCACCCAGATTTTATTAGCCTCGTCTTCCTGCTAAAATACTTTGCTAAAACTGGTCAAAACTGTTCTAAAACTGCTCTAATTGTTCAAATGTGCTCTACAAGTGTTCTTACATGTTGTAAAACTACGCTTATAATTCATGCAAGTCCCGTGAAGCAAAAATAAAATTTCTACCTGGTTGATGATTTGTTTCTCTTCCCTCTGACAGGTGAAGCAGACAATGAATCTCAGGGTGTTCAGAAAACTGAAACTAGGTTTCCTCATCTGCGTCATCCTAGCCCTCAACCTGACCTTCCTGCTGTCCGTCACACTACGCAAGGTCATCCTGTGGCGCGAGCCATACACTCACCTCCCGGAGTTCACCGTTGACCCAGTTCTGGTTGCTAGGATACGGAGCCAGGCCAACACGACCGTGAACCCTATCAAGCTGCGAAAGGTCCAAGACATCAAGCTAGAGATCAACGATTCCCGTACAACAGACGACGCCCTTTACCCGGCGAAGATGATCGGACATTACATCATGGTGAACCCGGATCTATGCCGCAGTGCGCATGTCATCGACATCATCATAATTGTACACACATCCCCGGCTAATTTAGAGAACCGGCAACGGATCCGGGAGAGTTTTGGGAAGGAGGATAATTTTTTACCGTTCCACGTGCGGGTCGCGTTCCTGCTGGGGCGAACGACCAATCAGACGTTAGAGCGGATTCTGTGGTTCGAGCACGCGACCTACAACGACACCATCATGGCCAGCTTCACCGACTCGTACCACAACCTCACGCTCAAAGGCGTCATGGGGTACCAGTGGGTCAGCCAACATTGCGCCAATTCTAAATTCGTGCTAAAAATAGACGATGACGTCATCATCAACATGTACAAGCTCCTGTACTCGTTTTTAAACCACATGAACGGGAAGACCAAATCTATTTTCTGCAACGTGTGGTACAAAGACACCATGCCCATTCTGCGTGATGGGAAATGGAAAGTGGAGTCGCACATGTTTGCCCGCCGAAAAACTTTCCCTTACGACTACTGCAGTGGGTTCGTGGTCCTGATGACCACTGACCTCATGGCCCCCATGTACGAGGCGGCCTTGACGACGCCATTTTTCTGGATAGACGACGTGTACTTGTTCGGCATGCTGCCCAGTATCGTGGGTCACGTGACCTACTACAACTACAAGCTGGACCAGAACGTGACCTTGGTGCCACAGAAGGCCATCAACTGCACGCAGACGTTGGGGGTCAAGTGCCCCATCTTCGCCTCCATCATCAGCGGTGGCGCGTTCTGGAATTACTGGGGGATGATCCAGTCCCTCTATACGTCTAGTTCGTGGAAAGTAGAGAACAAAATTGTTGCGTAATCTCTGCTTGGACATGCTGGAGATATTTGGGCGATGATCCAGATCGTGCAAAGTAGAAAGCAGAATTGTGGCATTATCTCTGCTTCAAAATTCTGGAGATACTTGGGATGATCCAGATTATAGAAAGTAGAAAGAAAAATGGTTGCATAATCTCTGCTTTAACAATCTAGAGATACTTGGGATGATCCAGATTGTGGAAAGTAGAAAGAAAAATTGTTGCACAATCTCTGCTTTAACAATCTAGAGATACTTGGGAAGATCTAGATTATAGAAAGTAGAAAGAAAAATTGTTGCATAATCTCTGCTTTAACAATCTACAGATACTTGGGATGATCCAGATTGTGGAAAGTAGAAAGAAAAATTGTTGCACAATCTCTGCTTTAACAATCTAGAGATACTTGGGAAGATCTAGATTATAGAAAGTAGAAAGAAAAATTGTTGCACAATCTCTGCTTTAACAATCTAGAGATACTGGGGTGTGATCCGAATCGTGGAAAGTAGAAAACGAAATTGTTGCACAATCTCTGCTTGTACAATCTAGAGATACTTGGGATGATCCAGATTGTGGAAAATGGAAAGTAGAAAGAAAAAGTGTTGCATAATCTCTGCTTCAATAGTAACTTGACACCTGTAACATAAGATAGACGTACAGTTACAAGACTGATGTTACAACAGTGGTGCTGTAGCTCCAGGGCTAGATAAGGCCACTACAGATTGTGTCTTGTTGGTACTTGGACCATTCCTTAGACAAGGGCATCATTAAAATGTGTTGTGTTCGTTCTTTGAAATGTTGATGTATATAAGATTTGGTGTAGATTAATTTATTAATGCTGCTTAAATGTTATTATTAATTACTGATATTATGATGTGAAAGTGTGAGAAAAATGTCGCAGTTCGACGCTTTGCCTCCATTTTTTGATGTTTTAACTAGCTCAGCAAATACACCGCGAAAAGTCAAATACAAGAGTGGCAAAACCGAGGGTTTTTTTTACGGTGGGCAGTAACGTACGTTAGGCCAGAGGCGTAGCGAGGGGGGGGGGGGCGGGGGTGCGGACCGCACCGGGTGACACCATTTAGAGGGTGACACCAATGCAAAAAATAGCAAAATTATAGAGAAAAATGATAATTCCACTTAATTAAGTGATTAATTCGAGTGTTAAATAGTGTTTTAAGATGTGCAAATCGAAAGTTTCGGGGCACCGGGTGACACCCGACCTCGCTACGCCACTGCGTTAGGCAGTCTATCTGAGGTAGTTTTTTTTTTTTTTACCGTGGGCACTACCGTACGTTAGGCAGTCTATCTGAGGTTTCCTGCCATTCTAGATTCACAACTTTTTTTGGGGAACAACATATCGACAAAACGTTTTCTCAGTTTGTGTATAAAAATAATGAGATTGACTGTGACCAATGGTCCCTGTGGGACAACTATTGTTCAAAAAAAGAAAATTGTTAAAATAGTAAAAAGAAAAAACTTCGATGGCAATTTTTTTTTGTATAGATCTCTAGGCTAAACCTCACATTACAATATAAAAAATAATAAACTACACTTTCTTCTGTAAGTTAATAATTCACATACAACAACATATACAATGGTAACTTTAGTGGTAAGATGAGTTTGTGGTAAAATGGGTTTCTGCGGTGGTTGGGATACAATAATTGTGACAGGATTTGGTTGTTATAGTATTTGGTTGTGACAGTTTCTGGTTGTGATAATATTTGGTTGTTATAGTATTTGGTTGTGACAGTTTCTGGTTGTGATAATATTTGGTTGTTATAGTATTTGGTTGTGATAGTATCTGGTTGTGGTAAGATTATGTTGGGATAAGATGTGATTGTGGTAAGAAGATGTTGGTGTGTGGTACGATGTGGCAGTGGTGTGGTAAGGTAAAGACGAATGAGAATTGAACATATATTTCCTAAATGTAAGCCTTAAATATTACAGGCTCAAATTTTTCATACGATATTATCTGATATTAGTTATTTAGTTGGTGCCTCCCTACATATTTAGGGTAAGCCCACCAGAGGCCAGAAATGATTATAAAACTAATTTTATGTTGTTATAACAGTCAATCTCAATTATTATAATTTGACTGCCTTGTCATGAGTAAGTTATATAGTAGCCTCCAGCAAATGTATCAACTAATGCCCATCCTGTCTTTTGTCTACTAACTCTGTTGTTTATGTTTTAACTAAAACATTTAGTAACTTTCTGATGCAATACTGATATCAAATTTAGATAATCGACTCAAATATTTAAAGCCCTTTTTCTTTAATTCTACTGTTTCGGACATTAAAATAAATTATAGATTTCACCAGTGTTGAGAAAAAGTGATAGTGCCTTATATGAAAACATCGAACAATATTACACTAAATTTTAACTCAAATCGGGTAAGACAATTTATTTTTTTATTAAAATATATTGAAATTTACAATGTTTTTCGAGATTTTGTTTTCGCTTGACTGAGTTGTTGTAAATGTCTAAGTTGACATGTACTGTATTTTCTATATGCAATAAACAAGTAACCAACTATACACACATTTTTGGTTAAAAAAACAAAAAAACAAACAAACAAGTAAACAGCAACAAAATTGGATGAAATAAAATTTATTGAAGTAGTACCACAGACTGCATTTATTTACAAAGACAGTGAAACAAACAAGCTCAGGTTGATTTGGTTCAAGAATTTTTTTTAAGTGAAGTTTGAAGAAAGATACATTCCAGGCATAAGTCAAACTAACTGAAACTTGACAAAACTTAATCAAAGTTTTGACCAGTTCTTTACTTCTATCAACTGTCAAAACAAAGAAAATTGTTCAAAGACTCTGGAAGTAAAATTTCAGTCAAGTACTAAACAATGAAACATTGTGAATAATGAGAAAAATGTAGTTGTGCATACAGGGTCATCCATAAAATTAAAGGTCATTCTATTTGTTTTTGTTATTTAACATTTCACACCTCTACACAAAGAAATGATACATCCTCCAATTAAAATGAAGTCACAAACACCTACTAAAATAACCAGATTACCAGGATTGATTTTTAAAAAAAAAAAATTGTAAAGAAAATATTTTTCATCAATTTTTGATACTAAGGAATGTTTAATTTATATTATTGTTACATTTCCTAGTCCTTTCCCCCCATCAGAGAGACTGCACTAATAGAAGACCCCCTAATATAAAATAATATGAGTTACTCAAGTTACTTTAATGTCAAAAATGTGGGTTGTCAACCAGACATTAGTACAGGGAGACAACTTTTGTAGACAGCACCAAGTAAATTACAGGGAGATAACTTTTGTTGATAGCACAGAGTAAATGTGAGAGTAGCAAAATTCACACACACAACTCTAGAAAATTCACACACACACAAGAAAATACAAATTATCATAATGCTAATAGCTGTCTACAAATAGAATCATGTTTCAATTGCCTAAGTTGTTGGTCAATCTCCAACTCCACTCCAACTTGTCATTTGATTACTCCATGAATGAAGTTTTATTGTTTCTATTTATTTAAATTATCAATAACAAAAAAATGCAACATTACATTTCTTGTCCACATCCTGTTCGACATTTCAGCAGTTCACATGTGATTGGCTAATCCAATCAAATGAGAGTCATGTGATTGGCTAACCAATAAAATGAGAGTCATGTGATTGGCTAATCCAATCAAATATGAGTCGTGTGAGTACCCTAGTTAAAAAGCAAATTATATCCAAGTAGTTGGTTCACATCTTTTATAATATGTGAACAAGATAGACAACTAAACTAGTAAAACCTACATAAGTTGTTTCCCTTGAAACAATCTCAGTACTCTTTATATCCAAAGTAATTAATCTAGGTAGCTATCTGATGACTTGCAGAATTATAAAAATGTTTGCGTTTTCTATGGTTTAATTGCTGTAGAGTAATTGAAGAAATAATTAGCTCTAGATTATACTTTGATAGACATAAACAGAAAACCTGGAAAAAAAAAAACATGAATACTGCAGAGATTTGATGTGTGAAAATGTTTAACAAGGAAGACGAAAGCTTATAAAACTGAGAAGAAATATCACAGAATTGCTGGACAGTCTAATTACCACAAGATATAACATAGGAAAGTGCAACACCAGCTCATCCAAATATTGAACAGTAAGTTGGCACCTTGGATTTAATAATAGGCAACACTTCCTACAAGATAAGAAAACAAACACAGCAGTTTAAAACATAAACCTAACAAATTTAATAAAATGATGGATGATGACAGTTGAATAACCTAGACAAATTGTTGTGTATTTTATAGAGGGACATAACACTTAAAAAAAAATTAACTTAAAAATGGGTTATCATTTAAACTATTTTTTTAAAATTCACAATTTTTATATGATGAGTTATTAAACTAAGATTCTTAGAACACAATTTACCTTCCCCCCATTCTGTTCCAAATGCTGTAAGGATTCTGTAACTTTTTCTTTATACTTTTTCTCCATGATTCTCTTAGACAGCTGTCAATGAAACAAGCATGTAATAGGTGTGGAGTGGCATTAGGTAGAGGGAGGTTAGGCGTGGGGTGCAATTACGGTTAGGCGTGGGGTTCAATTAAGGTGAGGTGTGGCATTAAGTGAGATAGGTGGGGTGGCATTAAGAAGAGGGAGGTGAGTAGTGGGGTGCAATTAAGGTGAGGTGTGGCATCAAGTGAGATAGGTGGGGTGGCATGAAGGTGAAGGAGGTGAGGTGTGGGGTGGCATTAAGGTGGGGTGGCATTAAGGTGTGGGGTGGCATTAAGGTGTGGGGTGGCATTAAGGTGAGGTGTGGGGTGGCATTAAGGTGTGGGGTGGCATTAAGGTGTGGTGGCATTAAGGTGTGGGGTGGCATTAAGGTGAGGTGTGGGGTGGCATTAAGGTGTGGTGGCATTAAGGTGGGGTGTGGGGTGGCATTAAGGTGTGGGGTGGCATTAAGGTGTGGGGTGGCATTAAGGTGAGGTGTGGGGTGGCATTAAGGTGTGGGGTGGCATTAAGGTGAGGTGTGGGGTGGCATTAAGGTGTGGGGTGGCATTAAGGTGTGGGGTGGCATTAAGGTGGGGTGTGGCATTAAGGTGTGGGGTGGCATTAAGGTGAGGTGTGGGGTGGCATTAAGGTGAGGTGTGGGGTGGCATTAAGGTGTGGGGTGGCATTAAGGTGTGGGGTGGCATTAAGGTGTGGGGTGGCATTAAGGTGAGGTGTGGGGTGGCATTAAGGTGTGGGGTGGCATTAAGGTGTGGGGTGGCATTAAGGTGTGGGGTGGCATTAAGGTGAGGTGTGGGGTGGCATTAAGGTGTGGGGTGGCATTAAGGTGTGGGGTGGCATTAAGGTGTGGGGTGGCATTAAGGTGTGGGGTGGCATTAAGGTGTGGGGTGTGGCATTAAGGTGTGGGGTGGCATTAAGGTGAGGTGTGGGGTGGCATTAAGGTGTGGGGTGGCATTAAGGTGTGGGGTGGCATTAAGGTGTGGGGTGGCATTAAGGTGTGGGGTGGCATTAAGGTGTGGGGTGGCATTAAGGTGAGGTGTGGGGTGGCATTAAGGTGAGTGAGGGGATGTGTTAAAAAACTTACTGCCATTAAAAATGTTTTCAGGTAAGCATTTAGGGCAGGTCCAACAACAGAGCTAAGACGAAGCAGACACTCCATGCCACGCTCAAACACTTCACTGTCTGGGTGGCTCTAGAAATAGAACACAACAAGGTTTTAGTTTCAATGTAGCTTGTCTAAAGCAGGGAGACAATCTACGTCTTTATAGTACACAATTGTCTAACATCAAAGCTCTCAAACACAAGGTTGTAGTTTCAATGTAACTTGTCTAAAGCAGGGAGACAATCTACGTCTTTCTAGTACACAATTGTCTAACATCAAAGCTCTCAAACACAACAATATTTTAGATTCAATGTAACTTGTCTAAAGCAGGGAGACAATCTATGTTTGTATAGTACATCAAAGCTCTTGTACATAATAGGATTTTAGATTTAATTTGTAGAACAAAGTTTTAGAACATTATTATAAGATTTTAGTTTTAATTTGTCTAACATCAAGGCTCTAGTACACAATAAGATTTTAGTTTTACTTTGTCTATTTTTAAAGTTGTTAAAAAATAACAAGTTATAGCTAATAACATAGACAAGACTGATATAGCACATCAAATAAATAAAATGGGACAGTCAGACTTGTAGACACTATTTGATAATGTCAGAGAAAGTACTAAGTTTCTTACTAAGGCAGCTCTGATGGGCGGGGCCAACTTTGGCAGGAGAGGCGTGGCCTTCTGGGCAGCCCCTGGTGCATCCAGCAACTCTTTGAAGCCCATGAAGGAAACAAATGTGTATGGGTGGACTGTTTCCTTCAGGCCCTGAGGAAGAAATGTACACATACACATAAGTTATACACCACAGATCCTGAGGAATAAATGTACACATACACAAGATTATACACCACAGATCCTGAGGAATAAATGCACACATACACACATTATACACCACAGATCCTGAGGAATAAATGTACACATACACCAATTATACACCACAGAGCCTGAGGAATAAATATACACATACACAAATTATACACCACAGATCCTGAGGAATAAATGTACACATGCACACCATTATATACCATATGCCATCTGTCTTATTCTGTATCTACAAATACACTTTAAAAAAATATTTCTATGCTAAATTATTTAACTTGCTAATTTATAAATGTTTTTCTAAAACTATGTAACCTAAAACATGGAGATTATTATTAAATAAATTATAAGTATACCATTATTTTTGGATTTATTCTTACACATTCAATAATACAATATCAAACATTACCTCAGCTAAAGTGACTAAAACAGGATCAAATGGTACAAGGTCAGGGGGCGTGTCCCATGCTAATTTATGCTTGACACTGCCATGGACTAATCTAAAAACAAAACCTTCAATTAAAGCTCCTACAAAAGAATGGAAAATACCAGCATAACACCGTCACATATGATTCACATATACTTAAAATAATTAATGCATCCTTAAAATGAAAACATATTAACAGAATTACAAAGAGTCAGACCTGCAAGGCACCCCTCCATTTGCATACACTGATGCAAAAGCTGATTGGCTTTTTGAACCTGCAGAAAACTGGTAAAACAAATTAAACTTTATTACTGAGATCATAGAGTAAAACCTGATACAAATGTGTACATTTATTATTTTTCTACATCAAAATTAAAAGATAATGTTATTAAAAAACTATAAAAAAATTATTACCATTAGATATTAAGACCGTAATAGACCCTCTATTTTTTTATTTTAATTTTTTGTTTGTATAAACATTACTTCTCTATTTACTTATATCATTCATGTAAAAGACTGACCGGGTCTATGGTTTTTGGATTCAGCCTATCTGAAGGCTTTTGAGTTCTTGATGCAGTGGTCATTTTGGCGTCTGCTGCAGGTTTCTTGTTCTGTGGCCCCACACGTTTCCCTGCACTAGAGGGTGGTGTGCTTGAACTCCGAGAACTGGCTGACCCCAATGAACTAGTCCGGCTCTGAGCACTCCCAGGGTGGGAAGATGCCATTTTCTTTAAAGTCTCTCAATATTTTATCAGTCTTTGAAAAATATATAGATCCAAAACAAATCTCCTCCTTAACAGTTCATGACCAAAATAAATCTGAAAATGAACAATCATATATAAAAAAAAACTGTTACTATTAATGACAGCACAAACTTATAATTTGATCTAAAATCCACTAACTCAACTTTTTAACACAAATTATTTAATACATGACAAAAAACACTTATACTCTGGGTCAGAATGTTGTAGAATTTTATTTCAGCATTTTTATTCTCTTTTAAAATTCTTTTATTTTTAAACCAGCCATTAAAGTTGACACTTATATTGAAACACATACAACAATAACAGGAAAGTAAGCCTGACAGCAGTGTTTCTTTGTTTGTTTAGCATTACCATGAATAATTAATGTGAAGGTTACTAGTTGCTATAGCAATACCATGAATGATTAATGTCATTGCTGTTGTGAAGTGGCAACTTTAATTTAACAAAATATTTCAAATAAAGAAACTGAGCTGGATTTTGATTATTGGGATAATGAATTTGATTTCCATATAAAAAATCTAACATTTTCTCTTCCTTACCTAAAAATTCATGCTATTAAACTATTAGCAAATTTCAATAAAATGTTAAATATTGACAAATAAGAAATTTCCTATCAGTTTCTGATGTTATTTGTTATTTTATTTCAATTCTTCTTCTTCTTCTTCGTTCTTAATTATTAGTGTTGAAGGGGATCGAGATTTATCTGCCAGTGGGTTTGAACTTGAGACTTTGTTAGAATTTATCAACCATGAGCTTTTTGCCGACTCGACCACGCCTCCAACACAATTAAGCGTTACGTGTCAACTGGTTATGCGCCATTGAGGCCATTGACTCCGATTTCAGCCTGCTTTTCTTTTTGGATTTGCTTCCATAGCCTTTGCCCAACCAAGAACAAGCTACAAGGCAGCAGTTGTTTGATTTTTGGAGTTGTCTCTCCTAGAAGAGTGGCTGTCCCCAGCTAACGAGCCTCATCTGCCCGAGGGTTCGAACTCGAGACTTTTCGGTTTAGCAACCATGAGCTTTACCGACTCGACCACGCCGACCCCTTTATTTCAATTGACATTTCTTTATGTGAAAAAAGTTCCTATTAACTACCATGCACAAATAACATTGGGAAAATCAATCAGAGCACAGGTTTTATCATTAGTCCAAAACAGGTGACCTTTACTACATTTTGCACTCATTCTTATTTTAAACATACTTTTTTAAAATACAAAAGTTAAAATAATAAATTCAAGGGAGACATCAGTGTTATTTATATTTTTAGATTTTAGTAGAAATTATCTCTGTCCCCAAGCTATGGCTTGTTTTTGTAGGTGTGTAGTTCCAGTTTCAACACAAAGGAAAGGTGTTGGGGGGGGGGGGGGGGGGGTCTCTCTTCTCTAGGATAAATCAAAACTTTGTTGATCTTGTCTTATTAGTTTAGCAGTTTAGCCTAGGCCCCTAATAAAAATAATATTTAAAATCTAAGTGGAAGGACATAGGCCCTATCTAATTCAATTTAAAATTAAATAGGCCTAATAATTAAGTGACACAGTCTCCAATTGAATAAATTATTAAAATTAAATTAGTTTAAAATTAGGCCTAAAATTAAATCAATCAGTGGGCCTAAAGTCTAAAGATTGGTAACTTGGTAAGGAATGCCTACTTCTTAATCTTATCTTAAATTTAAAATTACATTAGATTTTAGAATAAATTTAGATTCATTATGATTAGAATAGATGCTTTCCTAACTTTATGTTAAAGTTCAAGTAGATCTAGAATCTAGTAGTGGCAGGCCTGTTGTGAAATATGTAGATCTAGATCTAAGTTTTAAATTCTAATACATTGTAAAACACTTAGATTCTCTCAGATTATCTTTTTTTCAACTTCAAACTTCGGAAAACTTCCAGTTCAAACCAAACGTCTTTGCACCGAATAACCAATACAATGACTTTAGTAATTCATAGTTTATTCTAAGAGGTTAAACTTCTAGTTAAATTATTTTTAAATGGGTAGACTAGAACTACATTTTAAAAGATTACAATGCTCGTACATATTCACTTATCCACTAGACTAGGCTGTCAAGAAATTTAAAGTAAGATGTAGCCATATTGATTGTTTACCATGGCTATAGTGAGGTATTTAACTTTTCGATAAAAGAGCACTATGCATTAAATTTAAATAGGCCTACAAATTTATGGTGTAAAAATTTAAATAAGAGATTTTATAAATTTATTTAATTATTATTAAGATTGAATATATTAATAAGGAATGTAGGCCTAATATGTCCTTGTAGATTAAGTTTGTTGTAAGAATAGTTAAAAATATAAAACTTGTCAAAGTTTCGCCTTTTTAAAGTGCTATGATTGCAATAATTTTAAAATTGATTCTATGATTTTTAACAATTTTCTGCATAAAAAATAATGCATGAAATATTAAACTAAATAGTCAGCCAAAATAATTTATAATATATATATATATATCTAGCCTACTAAATAAAACTTTTAGGAAAGTATTGTCTAGTTATGTGGTCTTCACTGATATTGGACCATTGTCCATCTGTGGTGTATGTGGGGGTGTTGTCCATCTCTGGTCTTAACTTATGTGGGGGAATCATCCCCACCTGTGTGGTTTTCACTTACACGCTCATGTTGTCTTTGAATTTTATAGATGGTCGACAACAGGTTCACACAACTTATATGTGAGAAATCATCACAATTTTTGTTTGTTTGTGCTACAAATAAAAACTGAACAGTTCATTGATCTATATGAAGCATTTTATTGAGACAACAAAGTTACATAACCATATCACAACACTGCGTGTAACAATAACAATTTCAGGCTTATTAAATATAAACAGATAACACAGTTATACTACCAGAGCAGTACCAAGATGATGACATAATTTTAACTGATGTTTACTTGTGCAGAGATATTTAGAATGGAATGTCAAGAAAGCTATATACTTGATAGCTTCACTTTGATTTTAATCATCATAAAGCATTGGTGAGAAACTATAAACTATAGCTTTTCAGTCTTTATAGAATATAATAAACTTTCACATAAAAAAGTTTTAAAAAAAACAACCCCGATGTATGTGTCAAGTACAATGAGGTGTGTTTGTGCCCTTTTGGGTCCACAGGAATGGTGATAAGGATGAGGTAAAAATATACATGCCTAAACTGATATTGTTTTGATATATCTTGGCCACTATCACCAAAATGAAATAGTAGGCTTAAAAATAATGACAATTTTCCTGATATGTCAGTGAGTTTTTTTTTTGCGTTAAAAAGTAACAATGAAAAAACTAATATAAAGCAGTTAGTAGAGCTGATCAAGAACTAAACATACAAGCAATGTGAGCAGTTATATTAGTACAAAGAAAGTAAAACAATGCATTTAAAATGTTACAAGTTTACATCAAGGTTAGAAAGAGGCTTTTTTTGTTCTACTACAATATTACACAATCTATACAACTGTATATAAACCTATTGATTTCAATAAACAGGATAATATATATATATATATATATATATATATATATATATATATATATATATATATATATATATATATATGTATATATATAGTATGGCTCATGAACACTTTTTGCCATTTCACTTCTTTATCAAATCACAGCCTTAAAGGTAAACAATCTCATAATATTAGAACTGATATGTGAGTAAAAAGAAACATTGTACAACTATCCAAAATACAGCATTGATACAATATATCACAAAGAAAAAATGTATTCCTAATACATTATAAAAAGATAAATATATTAGAGCAAACAGTTTGATATATATAAAACTCTAAGGCAGGCACAACAAAGGCCACAGAGGAAGGAAACATCAAACACACAAAAATATAGCAGCCCTATTGTAAGTTTTATCAGTAAGTAACCTGTCTCAAGTTAACTAAACAAGATCAACATTACAACATTTTTATAAGCTTTACTAGCCCTGAAAACAACAATGGCGTTTTAAAATATATTTATTTTCTTGAGTATACAGTAAATTCTCATACCAGGGTTTCGTAATTTATATTGGAAGCACAAAACAACAAAACTATTAGAAACAGTTCCATTGATTTAAACACCTGAAGTTTACAATACAAATTTTAGGTGCCTAAATGGATATTGTAAGAAATCTAATGCTAAGTCAAATATAGGCCGATTGTGGAGGATTCAATGAGGGAATTAAAAATAGTTGACCATGCTTGAGCGCTTGTCATCATTGTGAGTGCAAAGTTCAATCTTTTCAAACTCTTTACTGAACATGTAAGTGAGTACTTCCAACTCATCTGCAGGTCTGATGTGTGGGATATCTGGGGAGAGAAACAGAACTCAAGTTGACGATAAATAAGAGAGAAACAGAACTCAAGTTGACAATAAATGGGGAGAGAAACAGAACTCAAGTTGACAATAAATAAGAGAGAAACAGAACTCAAGTTGACAATAAATAAGAGAGAAACAGAACTCAAGTTGACAATAAATAAGAGAGAAACAGAACTCAAGTTGACAATAAATAAGAGAGAAACAGAACTCAAGTTGACAATAAATGGGGAGAGAAACAGAACTCAAGTTGACAATAAATGGGGAGAGAAACAGAACTCAAGTTGACAATAAATAAGAGAGAAACAGAACTCAAGTTGACAATAAATGGGGAGAGAAACAGAACTCAAGTTGACAATAAATAAAAAAAAATTTAAATGGTTTTATTAGAAACACATTTACATAAAATGTAATGTTTATTCAAATTTAAATATTCTGTGTTAAAATAATTAATGTAGATGTAATGAGTAAACTGGGCAACAAGTCAGGTAAAAACTCACCTTTAGATTTGGCCTTGATGCGCTCCATACGGGCCTGGCAGTCCTTTGATGCCACTTTATGGTCTATCATGGGGTGTGGGTAGTCTTCACCCACTACACAGTTGGCTTCTTTCTGCACCTTGAGTGGTGCTTTCCATGGTTCAAACAGGTACTGCAGGGGCATGTCTTTCAACTCTGGCACATAGCGTCTGGGTACAACATAAATAATATTCAAGCACAATAACATGATGAATTAAAATGTTGAGTGAGTTTGATATAATATAATGAAAAAAACATTAATAGATTGATCTAACAATGTCTAAGTATGCCTTAATCAACAAAATTAGGAGGATGATTGAAGAAGATTAGCAAAATATTTAAACACAATAATCAAGTGCAAAACCAAAACATGCTAAAATGTTAAACAACTAGGGGTCCCAAGATTAAATCATGTTTTTAAAGTTGTTATCCCTGGTTCAGTACCTGACATATTCGCCTTTGGGATCCATGCGTCTTCCATAGCGTACAGGACATATACAGCGAGGGCACTGTAGAACTTTCTCAAAGGCTGACGATGACACCCACATCCAGTTACCTGCACACACTGACCAATCAGCATCCAGCAGGTACTTGTCGAATACCTGCAGAGTGTAACGTTAACCTATCTATCAGCCAAATAGAAGGAGAACGTCCCCGGATTCTTTTTTCGGGGTCATATGCAAATGCCTTACGGCCTAAGTGGATGAACACTTAACACAACGACCACTAGGGCTCGAATTTAATGTCTAGGGAAGCTAGTGATACTATTGTAATTAACACTCATCCAATCTACATACGACCTTTTAATCAGCGAACTCAGAAGTGGCAGAACACAAGGTTGAACTAAATAAAATATTTAATGTATAAAATATCAAAAACCAACTTACACAATGTAGGAAAAAACACTATCACAGATTTCTACACTGTCTAAAGAACAGCTACAGGCCACACAACACTGCTGTAGTTTCTAGAATTACTGAGCGACAAGTAATATTAAACTAGAAGACTAAATCACTTTAAGAAAGCAAGGCACACACAGGTCTTAAGTACTCTCACGTTCAAATGGTCAGAGTCTATAGCCGGACAATATGGACGGCTGCCTGACTAAGGTAAAACTGCCTCGTAGACTGCCAGGTCAAGATAAACTGCCTCGTGTTGCGAGTGTGCGGGGCAATTAAAGACTTCTGTGACAGGGGAGGTTATCCTCAACTCATGTCGCCATTGGTTGGGATAATCATCTGATCAGAATCATTCAATCAGATTTTAATGGAAATTTTCTATGTCTCAAACACCTTAATAGTCAATGGAAAAACCCCAGGTGTTACACAATCATTCCATATAAGGAATTATACAATGTCAAAATAAAAATGACTCGACCTAAGTAGGTCACATCCCCTCCCTTTTTGGAAGTGACAGATAGGTTCCACAAGAACATACATAAGGAACCAATCTGGCAATGAAATAACAAAAATGTTTTACAAATGTAGGCAATCAAAATCATAATACCAGATGAAAATATCCCTGAACATAAAAGGGAAGTAACTCCAACTTTTACAATTGGTGAAAGGGGAGTAACCCTTCAAAAAGTAATTATACATCAAAATCCCTCAAAAAAGGGTATTACAATATTTCCATGTGGATATTAAAAGTGGTAAACCCGCCAGGGTAAGACCTTTATTTCAATGACTAGCTACAATATCAATTGAGTCATATGAGACATATTATTATAAAAGATTACATATAATCAAGAACCACCTTTAATTAAGGTTCACCTGAAAATAAACAAAATATTCAACAGGATTGGAATTTTGAAAAATTCTAACTCACACCACTCATTTTCATATGAGTGACACTCAAACAAAACCTGTTTATGGTCCTAATGAACCACAAAGCGTGTCACATGATCAATGTGTGTAACAAGATTTTACATCCTTGACAAACAATCAGCCACAACATTATCACTACCCTTAATGTGTGAAATTTCCAGATTAAAATTTTGGAAATATAAGCACCATCTCAATATTCTTTGATTTGTCTGTCCTAACTTAGAGGTAAATTTCAGGGGATCATGGTCAGAAAACACTCTGACTGGATTGGTTGAAGAGGAGACATAGACTTCAAAATGTTGTAATGATAAAACCAAAGCTAAAGCTTCTTTTTCAATAGTAGAATAATTCTTTTGGTTCTCATTTAACTTCCTGGAAAAAAAGGCAATGGGATGGTCAATTCCCATGTTGTCTTCTTGAAATAGGACTGAGCCAATGGCTAAGTTGCTAGCATCAATGGCAAGTTTAAAGGGCATGCTAAAATTTGGTGCAGCCATAACAGGAGCATTTGATAAAAATGACTTAATGGTTAAAAAAGCTTCTTGACATTTATTGGACCATTCAAATTCAACACCCTTTTTCAATAATGCAGTAAGAGGTTCAGCAATAGCTGAAAAGTTTTGACAGAACCGCCTATAGTAACCAGCCATCCCAAGGAACTTTTTGATCTCTTTACAATTTTTGGGAGGTGGTAACCTTACAATAGCATCTACTTTAGCTTCAATGGGCCGAACTTGGTTCGTTCCCACTTGATAACCCAAATAGGTAATTGAAGCTTTACAGAAATCACTTTTATGTAAGTTTACAGTAAAATTCACTTCAGACAATTTTCTAAAAAGGTTAGTCAATTGAACAATATGTTCTTCAAAAGTATTAGAAAATACAACTATATCATCTATGTAGGCCTCACATTGGTCTATGTCAGCAATGACAGAGTTAATGACCCTCTGGAAAGTTTGACCAGCATTTCGCATACCAAAGGGCATACGTTTGTATCTATAAAAACCATTAGGGGTTACAAAAGCAGATATTTCTTTTGCACGGTCAGATAAGGGGATTTGCCAGTATCCTGAAAGTAAATCAATTTTGGAAATTATCTTAGCTTGACCAACTTTATCAATAACGTCTTCTATCCGAGGTAAGGGATAGGAATCAGCTTTGGTGAGCGCATTCACCTTCCTAAAGTCGGTCACAAACCTGAAAGATCCACCGTCTTTCGGGACTAGGAGACATGGGGAACTCCAGTTGCTGAAACTGGGCTCAATGATATCATTCTTGAGCATATAATCAATTTCATCTTTTATCAAAGCAGCTTTTTCCGGGTTAACTCTATAGGGGTGTTGTTTAATGGGTTTTGCGTCACCAACGTCTACATCATGAGGTGGAACCTTCGCTTCTTTGGGGGCATCCCCAAAAATAGAGGGAAATGTCTCAAATAACTGAGACAATCTATGGCTTTCCTCTGTGGACAAATGCATAAGGTGGACATTCAAATTATCTAAAAAGGAAGAATTTACCAATTTTGGGGGTTTCAATTTATCATGTATCACATCATCAGAAACATTAGAACATACAGGTAAATTAATTTTAGCTGTGGATTGAAAATTGTTACAATTATCATAATACTTTTTCAGTGAGTTGACATGATACTCTGTCTGTTTCTTTCTTCTGTCGGGCGTATTGACAGCATAGTTCAAATCACTTAATTTTGAATGCACAGTGAAGGGTCCACAATATCTCAAGGATAACGCATTGTTCAGATTAGGCACCAGCACAAGAACTTTGTCGCCTGGATTGAATGTTCGTTTACAAGAACTCTTATCATACAGTTCTTTCATTCTCACTTGGGCCTTTCTTAAGTTCTTGTGAGCCATTTCGCACACGGCTTTCAGTCGAACGTGAAAATCGTCGAAGTTTTCCACTGGATGATCACTGGTACCTGTCCAACGTTCGTGTATCAGCTTCAGGGGGCCACGGACAGAATGTCCAAACACAAGTTGAAAAGGCGAGTAGCCTAAAGAGTCCTGGACACAGTCCCTCGCGGCGAAAATAATCCAAGGAACAGACTCATCCCATTGGGTGTTACTATTAGCGAATGTCCTTAGCATGGTTTTGAGGGTTTGGTGGAACCTCTCAAGTACGCCTTGAGACTGAGGGTGGTAGGCTGAGCTGGTGATGTGGGTAACGCCTAGCTTGGCTAGCGCTTCCTGAAAATGGTGACTGGTGAAGTTGCTGCCTTGATCTGTTTGCACGATTCTAGGTAATCCAAAGGTAGTGAAGAACCGGGTCATGGCTCTGACTACAGTCTTTGCCTTAATGTTCCGTAAGGGAATCGCCTAGGGAAAACGGGTACTTGAACACATAAAGGTAAGTAGGTACTCGTTGCCCGTCTTGGTTTTAGGCAAGGGACCTACACAGTCCATGACGATTTTAGAAAAAGGTTCTTCTAATACAGGAATCGGACTCAAAGGGGCCTTAGGAATTGTCTGGTTTGGCTTTCCGGCCAACTGACAGTTCGTGCAACTTCTGCAGTAACGCGACACATCTTTTCTCATTTTGGGCCAAAAGAACAGTTCTTTGATCTTCGCCGTCGTTTTAGAGACCCCTGGGTGCGCTGACATTGGATGGTCATGTGCCAGCTTAAGTATTTCATGCCGATAAGGTGGAGGGATCCACAGCTGGTTTTTACCCAACCATGGTTCGGCTGGTGAGGCATTCACTGGTATAGCGCGACGAAAGAAGAGGCCGTTCTCGGAGAAATATTCTCCATCGTCAGATGATAGAGATTTTTCGACCGCTGCTTTGAGTTCCGCGTCGACTTGTTGAGCTTTAATGATGTCTTCCTGAGATATCCTCAGGGGTAAGCCCAGGCTTGTGTTCTCTGGAAGCATAGACTCCAGTTTGAGAGTCGAATTTCTTGACGATGATGGCGGGTGTGGTTCAGACGTGATGTCAGCCAATTGTTTGGTCTGGCTTCTTGTCACCGCACATGCAGGATACAGTTCATAATCATTATCTGGAACTGTTGACAAAGGGTCTGAAACCGTACAGGGGTATACTTTGCTTCCCGCAAGGTCATTCCCTAGAAGTAGGTGTACTCCTGGGACTGGAATACTATCTATCACACCTAAAATGACCTCACCTTCGACGAGATGATGTTTCAGGGCAAACTTGTGTAGAGGGACGACAGTAGATTTTGTCCCCACTCCCTGGATAATGGAAATCCTTCCGGTGTTCATCTCTGGTGTAATGTCCATTGAACTTTTCAAAAGGAGTGATTGTGACGCTCCTGTGTCTCTTAGAACGGTGATATTCTTCTGAGACAACGGATCACCTGGTTTGCTAATGATGGCTTCAGCAATAAAAGATGAAAAGTCAACTTTTCTCGATCCCTCGAGATCGGTAGACTCGGAAGAAACTGGATGGTGGCGAGAACAGTCAAAATGTGACTGCACATAATGTGTGGAGACTTGACTACCTTCTTGCGGACACTTAGGGTTAGAGTCCTTTTGAATTCTAGAGTTCATAGTTGAACTGGCTGCTTGAGGGGATAGAGCATAGTGCGCAGAAGTACGCACCACCTCTCTGTAACAGTCCTTGACAAGATGACCAGGCCTTTTGCAGAACTGGCATACTGCTCGACGATTGAGAGTTGATCTTGGTTTCTCTCTGGACTGTGATGTCTTCAAATGTTGGCCAACAGGAGGATTGCTGCCAAAAAGGGGAAGCACGGGGTTGAGGCGGTTTCCTGACACTGGTGGTTTCTTATGCACCAACATATATGTGTCAGCCGACTCAGCAGCCTTCTGGATGTCAGTTATCTTGTTATCCAGAATGTGTAGTCGTATCTCTTCAGGCAGGGACGATAGGAATTCTTCCCTTAGGATAAGTGACCTGAGTTTCTCAAACTCAGAAACTTCCTCAGAGTGTAGCCACCTTGAGAATATTTTCTCCTTTTCAAAGAGAAATTCCACATATGATTGTGTGGGTAACTTGCGGAGTGTTCGGAATTTTGTCCGATAGGCCTCGGGCGTCAGTGCGTAGGCCTTTAAAATGGCAGTCTTGACCAAACTATAGTTATTTTGAACGTCGTGAGAGAGTGCCTGGTATGTTTTTGCAGCTTTCCCAGTAAGGACAGAGCTCAATAAAGCAGTAATGGAAGTTTCGGGCCATTCACATGTCTTCGCTAAACTCTCAAACGAGTTAAAGAAAACGACCAAATCTGTTTCATCAAATTTAGGCACTAATTTCCCAAATTTGGCAATCACTTGCCCTACCGACAACTTTTTTGGATCTACCAGAGAAGTGACATCACTAACTTGACCAAATTCTGATTCCAACCTCCTCCTATCTAAAGCAATTTTAACCTCTAACTCCTGTTCTTTTAATGCCTTCTCTAAAGCAACTTTCTCCTCGCGGAGTAACACACCAGCCAACAAACTTTCATCAAATACCCCTTCATTAATAAAATGAACAACAACTTTATCTCTCAACACTTCTGACTTCTGCGTAACAGAATAATCCAATTTCAATTCCTTAACAACACTAATCAAAACTTTTCTACTCAACTTCTCGACCTCTTCAAAAGTAGGATTAGCCAAAAAAGACTCCATACCACTCATAACACTAACTTGAAAATCACAACAAGCCTAGATTCTTTAAATTAATACACAGCGTTGGGCCGTGTACTTGACCTCTTCAATCTAGGACGACACGTCTGCTTATTTGACCTAGATACTCTAGCCTGAGCGCGCGTTGTAAGAACACTGCGCTACTGGATATAAAAACAACTAAATCCAACTAACCTTAGTATTCAACTGATATGACCAACAACTGGAACGACAGATTAAATCCCGGACGAGCCCCCACTTTGTAACGTTAACCTATCTATCAGCCAAATAGAAGGAGAACGTCCCCGGATTCTTTTTTCGGGGTCATATGCAAATGCCTTACGGCCTAAGTGGATGAACACTTAACACAACGACCACTAGGGCTCGAATTTAATGTCTAGGGAAGCTAGTGATACTATTGTAATTAACACTCATCCAATCTACATACGACCTTTTAATCAGCGAACTCAGAAGTGGCAGAACACAAGGTTGAACTAAATAAAATATTTAATGTATAAAATATCAAAAACCAACTTACACAATGTAGGAAAAAACACTATCACAGATTTCTACACTGTCTAAAGAACAGCTACAGGCCACACAACACTGCTGTAGTTTCTAGAATTACTGAGCGACAAGTAATATTAAACTAGAAGACTAAATCACTTTAAGAAAGCAAGGCACACACAGGTCTTAAGTACTCTCACGTTCAAATGGTCAGAGTCTATAGCCGGACAATATGGACGGCTGCCTGACTAAGGTAAAACTGCCTCGTAGACTGCCAGGTCAAGATAAACTGCCTCGTGTTGCGAGTGTGCGGGGCAATTAAAGACTTCTGTGACAGGGGAGGTTATCCTCAACTCATGTCGCCATTGGTTGGGATAATCATCTGATCAGAATCATTCAATCAGATTTTAATGGAAATTTTCTATGTCTCAAACACCTTAATAGTCAATGGAAAAACCCCAGGTGTTACACAATCATTCCATATAAGGAATTATACAATGTCAAAATAAAAATGACTCGACCTAAGTAGGTCACAAGAGTTAGAGGTTAGAGGAGAATTCTCATTGGTACATTCAACTTGATTAACTCAAGACAATTACTTGGTTTTTTAACTATTAAGAACTCATATCTAAAGGCCCTTCATCCAGCGATTAATCTCATACCTCAAGGCCCTTCATCCAGTTAATCCACAAATCTCCCCTGGTGAGGAAACATGCTGTGGCGTGTCGACACACCTGGTGAATCCACCCCTCCTGTGTCAGCTGACGCATGCAAGCATCAATCCAAGGGTAGCCAGTTTTACCCTAACAGGGAAACATTTCATTTAGTTTTACTTAAAGTGAAACATTTAATTTAGTTTTACTCTTAGATGGAAACATTTTATTTACTTTTATGTAGAAAGAAACATTTTATTTTATTTTACTTAAAGGGAAACATTTTATTGATGTAGTTTTACTCTAAGGAGGGAAACTTTATTTATCCAGTTTTACACTTAGAGGGCAAAATTTTATTTGTGTAAGTACCAGAGTCCACTTTTCCAGCTGATCGTCATTCTCGTACCAATCAATATTGAGACAGATTGGGTTTCCAATCATTTTGTTGTAGTTTGGATTGTTGACTGACATGCAGTAGAAGTATTCTCTCCAGATCAGCTGGCAGGTGATGCCTGATGGGACTGCTGTGTTGGGGTGGACCTGGTGGAGGAATGGTGCGGTTTACTTCTTCTTTCTTAACTGTACTGTGGGAAGTGATTTCCCAAAACATAATTAAGTACTACAGGTCAACATTTATGTACCATACAGCCCATAGAATCAAATTTCAGCCACTTTTCTTTCTGGTTTTACTTTGGTAGACAAATATGGTGTATAACATGAAATACTTTCTTCTGAATAAATCATTTCTCAGTGTGGAGAAAGAAAAAAATTTACCTCTGAGTATACTTTTCGAAGCGCCCAATAAAATCTGCGGATAGACATACTACCAAAGCGCAGATGTGGGGAGAGACTCAAGGACATGCCAGATAACTCTGGGTACAGTTGATTGGGCAGGCTCTGTCCCACGCTGAAAGCCTGAAACACGGTCAAAATATATGTGCTATGTTGATATTCAAATAAGAAAAATACCAGTATGTATACACTATAGTGGAAATAGGCATACAAATGCTAGCATACCATACGTTCCTTTTCCAAGCGTATAGCTAGAAGTTTCAAAGCTTGAGTTTCTCCTCCTAAATAAGGAAAGCATGGGCTGTTTTGTCTTTCAGACTCCACCTCCACTCCTTGAATAATTATTTATAAATGGTCATTAAGGCAATGGTCTATAGTGACAATATTCTAAAAACAATATATTTAATTAAAAAATTCCAATGAAATTGATATTGATGTAATATTACACAATAAAAAAAACCCAAGTATTTATGAAAATCATTTGACGTCACCAGTTGAAAACTTACCAAGCTGCTCCAGGGTAGGGAGCTTGTACTTCTTGTCATGGTCCTCACTGACAGGTAGGGAGATACCATGGAAGTCAGGATCACCTTCAGGCTGGGGGGGTAGGCCAATCATGTCAGTCACCTGACAGAACATGGCGTACGTCAAAGGGGGGCTACCTCCATTCTCTTGAATAACTCTAAAAACAGCCAATCAAAAACAAACTATGTTCATTTAAATTTGCAAATAAAGTCTTAAAATTAAATAAGCTGAGATGTAAAATGTACAAGCACGTGAAATGAATGAAGTCCATATTTTAAATACTATTTTTTGTCAAAAGAAAACGTCACTTTACACTTGAGGGTCCCAGAGTGTGTGGCTGATTCTCTCAATCCATTCCACATCTTTTTTGGCGCACAAATCTTTGACACGGTTGTCTCGGTTCTGCCAGCAGGGCTCTGGGTCTTGTTCAAAGGTCAACCTTGTCACACCCCATTCCTAGGTCAAACACAAATACATCATTCATAGAGTTCAAAGGTCAACCTTGTCACACCCCATTCCTAGGTCAAACACAAATACATCATTCATAGAGTTCAAAGATCAACCTTGTCATGCCCCATTCCTAGTTTGTCAAACAGACATACATTATTCACAGTGACCATTTGACATTCTAATTAAAATATCAACTTTGTTGAAAAATAGATAAATCTAATTTCTTTAAAAGAGAATAAAAGTAAGGAAAATGAAAATAGGAGAGGCCAAAAGAAATGTGGGTGCACACAGCAGAAAAACAACTGATAAAAACAGGACTAGCTTGGTGGACTGCCAAGAAAATTTGCGAAGACTGGCAGAGGTGGAAAGATATTTCTCTGGCAGCCACATATGAAATGGGTATTAAGGGAAAAGATGATGATGAAAAGCAATTAATCAACTGAATACAAACCTCAAACAGTTTTTTAAAAACTCCAACAGGGTCGCCATGAAAGGTGTAGAGTCGTGTCCCATGTTTTCTGAGGTTGTCATCCAGGTCCTGCAGAGTTTGGAGAAGGAACTGCATCCTGGGAAAGGCAGCTGTAGCAATCCCTGCAGAAACAGTTGACAAAAATAATCAATCAATTATCGTCATCTTTTCCTGTTTATGCCTAAGACACATTGGGCAGATGAAGTAGAGTTTAACTTTTCAATGACCTAGCTATATGAAGGGATAGTCTGCACTATGCCCAGTCACATTTATTTTCCCTAAGAATAGTTAGCTACCCATAAGAGCTGGGTGGATTCAGTATTATAATACTGAGTAGCACCCGGATTTGAACTCGAGACTTTCGCAGTCATAAAACACATAATGAGATGATGCTGTAAATAATTAATTCATGACCCTCACTAAAGAATAAACATTCTTATGAGGAAGATGCTCTCACTACAAAGTTGGGCAGGGTAAAACAACTATAGAACAACTGTACCTGCGACACTGCCATCAAATATAAAGACAGGGTAAAACAACTATAGAACAACTGTACCTGCGACACTGCCATCAAATATAAAGACAGGGTAAAACAACTATAGAACAACTGTACCTGCGACACTGCCATCAAATATAAAGACAGGGTAAAACAACTATAGAACAACTGTACCTGCGACACTGCCATCAAATATAAAGACAGGGTAAAACAACTATAGAACAACTGTACCTGCGACACTGCCATCAAATATAAAGACAGGGTAAAACAACTATAGAACAACTGTACCTGCGACACTGCCATCAAATATAAAGACAGGGTAAAACAACTATAGAACAACTGTACCTGCGACACTGCCATCAAATATGAAGACAGGGTAAAACAACTATAGAACAACTGTACCTGCGACACTGCCATCAAATATGAAGACAGGGTAAAACAACTATAGAACAACTGTACCTGCGACACTGCCATCAAATATGAAGACAGGGTAAAACTGGTGGCAGTCCTCCAGCCCATCCAGCAGGGAGGGATTGTCATGGAGCCTTAACCCATGTCTGAACCAGTGCACGGTCACGTGACCTTTCTTCTCTGTCATCTTTCTTCTAAATTACTCAGCTGCTGTAGATTAGAAAACATCAATAGGCTTATTACAAACAATAGGCTAATCACAAACCAGAACAAAGGTATATACATATATATATATATATATATATATATATATATATATATATATATATATATATATATATTTATATATATACGCCTATATATATATATATATATATATATATATATATATATATATATATATATATATATATATATATATATATATATATATATATATATATATATATATGCATATATATTAAAAAATTAAATAAACGGCAAGCAGTTCCTGTGAAATTTTGTAGCAATTATGTATCTCACTATAAATATAATATTTGCTAGCCTTTTGTTTCTTTCTTTTAGCTGAAGCCGAAATGGTCTTACGAAAAAAAACGATATCCAGTATAAGTCAGCTACACAACAGAATGCCAATGTCTGAACTGTACTGATGGGCAGCCGATGTAGAAATGAAACACTTGACCACCCTATTTGGACATCGGTGAGTAGTCTTAGCTCGGGGCGATGGACGGGTCTGTATCTACTGGTGAGCTGTTTATATTTGTTTCTGCGACAGGTCCGCTGTTAGATCGATAATTCCACAAGGTTTCCGTGACGTCACGTGGCACTGCCGGCTAATTTACGGGAGACGAGAGCCAAAGGGGAGTAATTAGATCGGGTCATAACGGAGCTAAAGGATGGAGTTATATCACTTGTGTTTCATGAATTTAAATAGACATCACGTTTTCTGAACGGATGTCATAAGTTTAGTTCAAATGGTTCATTTGTCATTCGTTTCAAGTTAAATATCTCTGCGATGACGTAGGTGGGGGAGGGAGGGAGAGGGCTAAAGGGGATAGAATGTTTTTTTTTAAAAACAAAGTTCATTTTGAGCAGAATTACTGAATTTTTCAGTATTAAGATAGACACAGGCTACATAGCTTTCGAACTTCTTAAACTTTCGGGGGGGGGGGGGGGAGGGGGCTGTTTAAGAACCAAGAAGTATATAATGCTATTTTTAAACTAATAACAATTATAATTATTTAAAGCAAAATAACACAAATGTTACCAATATGTCAGTAAATTAGTTTTAAGTGTTGGAACCTATTGTTGGATAGTTATAAAATGTGTAACTTGTGTCAAGGAATTTGTTCCGATTCGATAGGAAGAGTATCATTTTATAATAAACGTTTTGATATGTAACAGCCACCCCCCCCCCCCCGAAATGAATGCAAAATCGCGCATCACAGAAAGGGATGGACAGTTGATTGCTTATTCCATAACACCTCACCCCACCCCCCTCCAATGCTGTCAAATTAGCTAACTAGTATAATTCAGTTCTACTCTAGACTAGGGGTAGCTTTGGTTCAAGTCTACAACTGTAACTGTTTTGTGACTTTGTTCAAGCAAAAATTATTATTATCAATTGATAGTTTAACGACACAACCTAAAACAACTGATCAAATGAATATGCACATGTACTGAACTGACTAGCGTATTTTTTCTGAGTGTCCAGACACGGGACACACTACCAGGCCATCTGACAATGCCGGGGCGTCTAAAAAAACAGTTGACTGACTGACACACTACCTAGCGGCTTTTATTAGAGAAGTAGCTTTGCTACAAAAGATTGCATACATTTTAAAAGTACTTTTACATTTTGGGAACAGAACTCGAAATAAAACAAAATGACCAGAACGGAGTTAATAAGAAAAATGCTACATGCAAAAATGAACAAAAACAGAACATAGCAGGACAAAAGTCCAGAACAGAATAAAACTGAACAAAATACTCGACAACAATTCCAATTTACCTTTTAATGCAAACGAAAAAAAAGCTTTTAAAGTAATCTATAGCCACAAATACCAAGTTATTTTAAAGTTATCCGTAGTGCCTGCTAAACTAACCAATAGCAACAAATACCAAGTTATTTTAAAGTTATCCGTAGTGCCTGCTAAACTAATGTATAACAACAAATAAAAGAAACATCTATCACAATAACCCCGCCATCAATCACACAAGTGCTCACCACTGCTGACCACCATTACTGTCCACTTTGACAGAGCGAGATGGGTTCTGTTTCAAAGTTTTTCAAGTAGAGTCGTAAATTTACACAAGGATCCAAAACACTATTTAACAAAAGCAAATTATATCACTTGCGTAACCAGCTGAGTACGATAGTTTAGCTTTACCAACACTAACATTAACGATGGCCTCGACTCAAGTTATTCACACATAATTCAAGTAATTCTATCCCACATTTTACTTCTATTCAAAAGTACAAGCTTGTGTGTGTATAGCCTTTATTTTATGTTTGTGTGCTCAACATGTGAGTTAAGCTTAAAAATTTAACATGATATTTCCTTGTTAAGCAAAACACTACCTATATCGCTGAAAACGATACCTTATCCAAACAACTAAATCCATAGACATACCCCCTTAACGAAGCTGGATGAGGTTCGGCCCGAGGGTGTGGACATTTTTATTATACTCCTATATAACACTATATTGAAGGAGTGTTAAGGCTACATATCTTTATGTGTAGCTTTAACAGTCAGAGTCTCTTCCAGGCATCTTTTCGAGGGGGAGGGGGGTTCCCCCGAAGAAAGTCTACCTCGCCCCACCCTTCTTAAACGAAATGGAATTTATATAGAAAACATACTTTTACCAGTGTCCGCCCCCCCCCCCTCCCGGTACAAAAAGTCTGGAAGAAACATTGTTAACAATACATAACCCTAATCCTAACATTATTGATTTTATGTTTTCGGGCATAACAGGAAAATAGATGAACATCGGTACAGTGTGTATGTTTAGGGCCCATCCATCCATGTCGTCCACAAAAATAAAATGAATTCAACAAGACTATATTTTTATTTAGCACATTCCATATTCTGCTTTAATATTCAAGGGACAGACATTCCTAGAAGTAGTAGAAGTATTAGGCCTAGGCTAAATTATCATCATTGCAAGGTAGATCTCCACCAACACAATACGTGATACAATTAGAATATGAAGTTTTGTAAGTTTTGAGAAAACTATTACATTTTTGTAGACGTCTATGTGGTATGTGTGTGTGTGGGGGGGGGGGGGAAGCGGGGTGTTCGCTTATATTGATCACCTGTACACAGTGGCGTAGGCAGGGGGGGATGGGTTAGGGGGGGTCATAACCCCCCATAGACCCCTCGGTATATATATATATAAAGTATGAGGGGGTGCAAATCGAAAGTTTGAGGGGGGGGGGGGTGCAAATCGAAAGTTTGAGGGGAGGGGGGTGCAAATCGAAAGATTGTCCCCGGGTAAAATTGGACCCCCTCCCCCCTTGAGACGATCCTGGCTACGCCACTGCCTGTACAGGAGGAGAAAGTGTCCAACAGCAACAATCCCGTGAGTGAATAGTACTATTTTTAAAAAAAAAACAGGACTGTAGATTACTACTTGGCTTAAAAAATTATTTAATTAAATAGACACGTTTTTGCATGCCGTTTAAATATTCTTCCTTTGTATATCTTGTAATATAGACCGACACGTAATTTTATGTTGGTGTTTAGTGATAAGATTTAAAACGTGTAGCCCCCCCCCCCCCCTCCCAGTTTACAAGAGTCGCCTTTTTACAACCACCCACACGCAGACGTCATAAATGAATGCTCCTGATTCTAACATGTTGGTAGCTACGGCTGATTTGAAAGATCTACTAGATTTATGTTTTCGTTGTAAAATAATTATTTAGTTGCCTAACTTTTGACTAGGTTGGAGTTGTTGAATGTTAAGGTTGATGTTAGAATTGGTTATGGTATTTGTAGGGTTACTGTGACAAAATGATTCGGACGAAACAACCCCCGTCAAAAGGGACAGAGTTAAATGGATCCCGCCATATGGGCTCCGACAAAAGAGCTCCTGTCAATAAGGCTTCCGACAAGTCACAAATAGGCTCCCGAAAAAAAGGCTTGTCATCAGGACATATCATCATCAACTCTCAAAGTCTAGCGGCGGACGAGGCATAAATAAGTGAGCGCTATTTCATCCTGTCTTTAGCTATACTATAACCTGTTTTTTGGGGATTAGCCCGTAGTGTCGAAACGAAAGTACAGATAATTTAAACTTGGCCGTACTGTCGAAAATCCCGCTGAAATATTTTAAAGTAGTCGAACAGCTAAGATCGTTGTTTATTTTACTTAAATAATTTACGATACCGAAACTGGATCCAACAGAAAACATAATTAATTGATTTGGTGGGAAATATCTAGATCTTTTTGTAGAAAATAAAATAGATCTTGCCACTGATTAGTAAATTACACAATAATTAGATCTACATCTACATCTCTATTTTAACGTATTTTATTCCCCGTTTCACGTTCACCTCCAGTTGAGCGTATTTTATTATTAATTAATTTTATAATAGGCCTAGGCCTAATTACTAATTAATTATAATTAATATTACATTATTAATAATTAATTTCTAATTTATTAATATTTTTTTATTTATAACATTTTTATTGATAACCCTTGCCTTAGCTAGCAAAGCACGGGTGGGGGGTGCAGACTGCACCAGATGACACTATTTATTTAAGGGGGTGACACCAAGGCAAAAAATTGCAAAATATACAGAAGAAAAATGTTGTTTTGCCAGTCCCATTAATGATTAATTAAAGTTAAATAGTCTTTTAAGTACAAATTGACAATTATTACCAGAGGGTGGGGGTGATACCATGTCGTAAAGGTACTAAAGTACTAACTATAGAGAAAACATTGCTACATCCAAGTTCCAACTGTATTATTAACAGACTAAAGATAAACCTCGTTACTTGGGTGACACCCGATCTAGCGATGCCATTGGGCCTTAGACGTAAGCACTTTATTTAAATTTTTACTAATTTCAAAACTTTAATCTTCAGGTTCTCTCAACATGGAGACAGGAATAAGACAGACACAGGGACAAAGATACCAACAATGTTCTAGAACACTGCAATCAACTGATTTACAACCCTCTGTATTCAAGTGGTTAGAGTACTACCATGTATGTTACTTTATTTAAGAGTTAATTGTTCAGATCCCTTTATGTGACTTCTGTGGGGTGGAGGACTATACTACATTCTAAATTTTAAGTATTCCATTTAAGAGTGTAAACTAAATTAAGATATTAGTAATATTATTAGTATCACTTTTAAGTACCATTTATACTGTAGTATAATAAAGTAAACTGATCTTGTCATTGTTTTGCAGGTGTTTTGTGCTTATGGGTTTATGATTACAGTAAAAAATAAAACCAAGTGCTGTGATAGGTTGAAACAAACCAGGTATGATTGTAAATATGAAAAAATTTCCAATCTGATTTAATTAAAGGTGAAACTTTTGTTGGTAAACTAATTGCATTATAACAGTAAAAAATGTAACACTGAATAATCAAGCTGAATGATAAATTAAAAACCATTATGTAGAGCTGAACTGTTGTGATTGTATTTTGTTAATTTTTTTTTATTTGTACATGTAAGCTTCCTTTCAGGTCCATGGGACAGATGGAGAGATCATGAGTTTCTCTGGCTTTGGCATAGGAAGGGATAGTGTAGTCAAGTTCAATACAATGCTCAGCCACCTTTATTTTCCCAACCAGTTACTAGAGCCCATTATTAGAACTTGAGACTATCAGGTTAGTTATCCAATGTTCTGCTACTCACATACACTGTATTATTTGTATATAGTTATATTTTATAAATCATTTGTTTATTTATCATTGTGAATTTAAGGTTACACTAAACAAGCACCAACTGTACTGCAATGTACTTCCCAATGAGAAGTGGGGTGCAAACATTTGATTTAAAGCAAATTATGTAAGGTGATGGTGTGGCTTAGCTATGGAGCAAGACGGTATAACCCAAAGTCTCAAGTTTGAATCTAGATTCAAGTCAGCAGAACTTCCCTGAGTTCACCCAGCTGCTCTGATAGATACCTAACTCACGTTAGGAAAAGTAAAGGAGACTGGGCATAGTGCTGACCACACTATCCCTTCATATGCTGAAGTCACAGAAACAGCTTATCTCTACTGCACTTGCCCCATGGACCGGCAGGCTAAATAAACTTAAGTGATGTGATACAGATATTTTTAATTTGTTAACCAAAACATTTTGTTTGTCTGCAGCGAACCTGGATTAATAAAACAGTGAAATCTTGCTGGAAGGTGCTATCACAGTATAACTGGTAACTAAAAAAAAAATTTGATGCTATTTTATTTTAATATTTAGTAGGGCTATATATGAGTTGAACTAAACTAAAAAAGATATTTTCATACATGAACTAATATGTGGACACTATTGATTCTAAATGTAAAAAACTCAGATATCTTACTGTTAATTCAAAATGTGTGCTATATCAGTCAGCATGTTTGCCAAAGCCACATTGTCAAACAAATGTTTGAAATAAAGGGTAGACCTTTGTAGACAATCTTTATTTTAGTACAATTTCCACACTCAAGATATTTCAGTTTTAATATGTCACCATAACAGCAACTGGTGGAGGGCGTCTCTTTAAAGATTAAACAGTTGTCTTTATTTTCTTACAGAATGTGTATTTTTTGTTTCCCAGGATTTACCAGCCTGAGGATTAAGGCGTCTCTTCAAGATGGATGTTAGAACATCACAGATGGTTATTTTTTCAGCCCACCTGATGTTCAGTTTGCTACACAGCCATTCATTATTGAAAGTCTCAGAACCATAGAGGAGAACAAATTTTACATTGCTGTTCAACAGTCATATTTGGAAAACTGTAGACAGCTCTTGACATCCATATTGTGCGGAGGATGTTGGATACTTTGCTGATATGTCTTTTGATGTCCTCATCTGCTCCCCCATCTTCTTACAACAGATCCTAGATGTGTGAAGCGATCCTGCTCCAAAATAGTCATTTCTTGTATCCTAAGTGGAACTCCTGTTTGTTGTTGATTCTTATCTCTTCTGTTTTTTCCAGTTGATCATTAAGCCTATATTAAGAAGGTTCATCATAGTTTGCTTAGCGTGGATTGGGCATGTTGTTGTCAATGTGAGAGTATAGCATCCTCAATATCTAGACCTCCAGCTAAGTGAGGGTCCACTGAATTCCACCCTTTTGGTCTGATGTACTTTATTGGTGAAAAGCTTATACTTATAACATTTCTGTACTCACTGAAAAAGGGCTGGTTAACTTGTGGATAATCTGGCAGTTTGAGTCTTTGTGGAGGTGTTGGATACTATTGCTGAATTTCTTAGCGATTGAATGTGCAAATTCAATTTTTTCACTAGGTTGGCTTTCATGTAGAGATATTCTGCTACGCAGTATTTGTTTATAAATATGTGTTTCTATCTATATATATATATATATATATATATATATGCATATATTTATGTTTGTGTGTGAAACTAAGGTCTAGTTACACACAGTCATATAATATTAAAAACGTGTTAGATTAAGATGTGGATTAGAGATAGTCTGTTGCCATCAAATTTTTATTTATCGTGGAGGTTGTATGTATTGATTCCATTTTGTCTAGTTATTGAGCATACTGAAATCTGATAATATTGATTTATTATCTATCTACTTACTTGTCCACTTGTAACCTATATGATCTATTACTTAATTGTAGCATCAAAAGTATTCTTTTAATGTGAATAAAAATTTTAAACAAGTAAACTATCGCTTCATGTTACAGTATAAATTTAAGTAGCCAGTTTGTGCACCTGTAATTTTCTTGTAGTGGGAGGGGGAAGGGCATTCATCTCACAGTGAAGTAAACATGTCTAGCATTTACTATGATTTACACTAGTATTAGTAAAAGTAATTCAAGAGAATTGCAAATTGCATATTTTTATGCATCTGTATTGGGAGGTTAAAAAAAATAATTATGCACATTATCAATCTTCATATATATAGTTAACACATACATTAAAGTATAGCAAAGCAGTGACGTCGGTAGTTCGCACTCCACGCCCGCGCTACGCCTCTGTAGCAAAGTGTATATATATCCCACTGACAAGCTTTTAAAAATGTAGGGTACCAGCACAGGCGACAATGTCTCAATCACTAGTAAATAGGCTTGAAAGTACTACATGGACTTGTACAACTAATTGAGCTGTAATATGTTGCAAGATATGTATGGCTTGATGACACTGACAGGTGCTTAATAAAAAGCAAGGGATTAATATACCAGTGTGGTTTTTATGTACGAGAGGTTTATGGGGGGGGGGGGGGGGGGTAGGGCAAGTGTCTAATATCAGAAAGGGATGCTAGTTACGGCGCTTCATGAACAACGAGAGCTTCATTTATGACAGGATTAATCAGATTAATTTCAAACTTTTGCTTGGAGGAGGTGGATCACCTTTATTACAGAAGTAGGTGAGGATGTCAGATTTAGGGAATTTACAAGAGTACCCTAATGTTTGTTAGTAAACCGGTAATAAAATACTTTCTGGCTCTAACACCGATGTAGACTTCATGAACTTTATAAGTAGGTACTAGTTAGTTACACGTCAAGTATATTACTCGTTAACTAAAATAGTGTTGTACATGTTCACCCCCGCAATCTATTTGCCGCTCTAAAAGGCTGAGTTACTCCAATGCCAACTTTCTCAAGTACATCCACTCTGATGCAAGGTAAGATACAAGAATCTGACGAAGAAAAGTTTACTCGTGACCCAGAGAAAAACAAAATTTCGCCTGGTCAGCCTCATTCACTAATATTGACAAACTTTAAGCGATTAGCCCCAGAATCCACGATGACAATAGTACAGAAAACAATACCAACGTAAGTCAAAGCTCGGCAAGGCGGGTTGCGACTTCTTTATGATGGTTTAATCAATTTCAGAGAGAACAAATACAAGAACAAAGTTTCTTCCAGGCAGAGTTTCTTCTAGGCATCTCTTTCACCGCCCCCCCCCCCCGAACAAAATGGAATTTATATAGAAAATATATACTTTCGACAGTGTCCGCCCCCCCCGTCAATTACCCCCTTGTCAATCCCCCCCCCCCCCCCCCGGGGAATTACCCCCCCCCCCCCCCCTTTCAAGTTAAAATCCTAACTCTAACTAGAATTTTATACCTATATACTACTTTAATCCAAACCTCAAGAAAAAGACCAAAACCTAAGAATCCACCTTAGCCTAAAACTTCACACAAAACCAAAACCAAAGCTAGACACAACCCTAACCCTAAAACTAGCTCTAACACTAACCCTAGCCCTAATCTTAACTCTAACCCTAGCCCTAACCCTAATCCTAACCCTAGCCCTAACCCTAACCCTAGCCCTAGCCCTAAAACCTAACCCTAACCCTAACCCAAACCCTAACCCTAAACCTAGCCCTAACCCTAACCCTAACCCTAGCCCTAAAACCTAACCCTAACCCTAACCCTAGCCCTAACCCTAAACCTAACCCTAGCCCTGAAACCTAACCCTAACCCTAACCCTAAACCTAGCTCTAACCCTAACTCTAACCCTGTCCGGGGGGGGGGGGGGGGGTAATGTCCTACTGGGCGGGGGGGTAATTGACAGGGGGGGGGGGGGTAATTGACAGGGGGGTAATTACTCTGGGGGGTAATGTCGGGGGGGGGGGGGGATATCCAGGGGGTAATTGACAGGGTGGAAATGCCCTGTTCCCGTTGACATACATCTAGTTCTGACAAGATTTTGGAAAAATATCGATGTTATAAGAAAAATTCTACAGCAATTTTAAGGGGGGGGGGGGGGTTGTAGACTGAGGTTGTGACGTCATTTAGGGGGGGGGGGTCTTGATTTTTGTGAAGATGTGTGACGGAGGGTAGGGGGAAGCGTGAGGTCATTTATGGATGACCCCTTATTAAAAAATAAAAAGATTTCTAAGTTTAAACTTCGTCGGAGAAATTCAATTTGAACTACAATAATAATCATTTTACAGAAAAATAAAGCACGTGGAAATACCATTTCGGACCTTACAGTAAGTAGGGCATACTTCAAAGAAGAGTTTTCCTGTTTCCGTGACCATTGAAGACCCATAAGAAGTGATAATAATAATGTGGTCGGTTCTATGACCTTTATTAAACATAGTCAGGTACCCATCAGATCTGAGTCAACTCAGATACGTCCTAAGTACTTGATTCTGGGATCTAAACTCAAGACCTACGGATAGCAGTCAAACGCCCAATAACCAACCTTTTTATATAGACAGGTGACAGGAGAGTGGGCCATTTAACATATAGGCTACTCAAGACTTCAAACTAGGCTCAGCTAACCCATCTAAATTTAGATTAGAATTAGAAACCTTGAAAAACACAATTAAAGTTAAATATTGCACTTTGAAATGTTTTTGGGTGCCCGGTCGCAACAAAATGAGACTGATATAAATTAAATTTGTTGAATAATACTGATAAAAAATATAACAACTGTCTTAAAAAAAGAATAAAATAAAATGACTATCTTTAAACACAATAATTAATGCACCACATTTTATATAAACCAAATATATATAATATAAATAGAGCATGGATCGCTGTATATTATGCATGGGAGAAGGGTGTATATATAGTCACGAACAGTTATGTA